ATATATATATATATATATATATATATATATATATATATATATATATATATATATATATATATATTTCTAGGGGCCCTCTGAGGCCCCTAACGATGTCGGGGCCCCTCGGACCCAGAGAGTGTCCCAAAGACCCCCATAAGAGGGATTCCTCTTTGTCTCGGTGGTGGTCTTCAACGCTGTGGCCACGCAGCAGACTGCTGCTGCTGCTGCAGCTGCTGAAGTTGCTGCTGTGGCTGCAGCTGCTGCGGCTGCTGTAACTGATGCAGCTGCTGCAGCAGCTGCGCAGTGGGGACGGCCACCGAAGGTTGCTGGCCTGTCATCTGGAGTTGTTGCTGCTGCCTCTGCAGAAGAAGCTGTTGCTGCAGAAGCTGCTGCTGCAGTTGTTGCGGCTGCTGCTGAAGCAGTAACTGAGGATGCTGCTGCTGGAACATCTGAAGGGGCGGTAATGAAGGCCCTGTGCTCGACGAAGCAGCAGCAGCAGCAGCATTCTGCTGAACTTGCTGTTGCTGTTGCAGTTTTGCGGCATCCATGACTTGTTGCTGCTGCAGTTGCTGATGCTGCAGTTGCTGCTGCAGCACATTCAACTGTCTATTCTGACGCAGCAGCTGCTGCTGCTGCTGAGCAAGGCCTGACATTGGACCTGATATGGGGCCTTGAAGGGCCCCAAGGGATGGTCCCTGTAGAGAGGGCCCCGTCATGGGGCGTCGGAGCCGCTGCTGCTGCAGCTGTTGCTGTTGCAGTTGCTGCTGTTGAAGTTGTTGCTGCTGCAGCTGTTGCTGTTGCAGCAGGTGAGCGTTTGCGACCCCCTGTTGCTGCTGCAGCAACAGCTGCTGCTGCATCTGGTGCTGCAGTTGCTGTTTCTGCTGCGGTGTGCTCAACAGCAAATCATANGCAACAGCTGCTGCTGCATCTGGTGCTGCAGTTGCTGTTTCTGCTGCGGTGTGCTCAACAGCAAATCATAGAGAGCATCGAAATGTGCAGGAAGATTCCTTGCGGGTGCCCCCGAGGTCCCTGGCGCTGCCGCCGCTGCAGCTGTTCTCTCCCCCTGTTGCACTGTTGAATCCGACTGAGCAGCTGCAGCAGTCTCTTCGGATTGTTTTACTGCAGCAGCAGACGATACAGCTGCAGCAGCCGGTGCTGCTGCTTGAGCGCCCTCTGTCTCTGCTGCATCTGTCTTCAGGCGCTTTAGGGGGGGGCCCCGCGAGGCTGGGGATGCAACGGACCCCTCGTCGGCTGCAGCCCTTTGGGTTGCGCCCCCCAATGTCGTTCCCGCTGTTGCTGCTGCTTTTGCTGCTGCCTGCAAGAGCCGCAGCCGCATCTGTTGCTGCTCCTGAGCAAACACTGCAGCGCCAACGGGGTTGGTACTGCTAGTGACTCGGGCGTTCCCACAAAGAGCGAGGAGGACATCCGTACAGAGGGTTGAAGGCGCAGCAAGGGAGCGGTTCGCTGCACCGGCAGGGGCCCCCAATGCACCCCCTGCAGCTGCCGATGGGCCCCCTGGTGCGGGGACCCTAGACAGGGTCCTAGCAGAGAGTACGTGGGCCTCTCCAACGCCTAGCAAGAGAGACTGGTCGAATCTTAGACGAGAATTAAACTCCGAAAAGTCAGGTGTATCGATGCCTGTACACAGAAAGCAATGCAAAAAGAAACTCCCCTAACACTTCTGTACTCATACACCCAAAATCCCAAAGCGTGAAATCTGGCTCAAACCCTAAATCGCAAACCCTAAGTATCAAACCCTCAACCCCAACAACCTCTAAACCCCAAGAAACCCGCCC